TGTATAAGAGACAGCCCCAGTTCCTAGTCAAAAGAACAGCAAGAGTTTGAATTCAGAGATAAAGTAGCATTTAAAAAACAAATGCCATGTGAAAAGAGCAGGTTTATTTTCCTCTTATTTTTAGATGTGCTGATATTTAAACTATGAGAGATAAGCTGACACAACAGTAAATTTATTATGATCTTTTTCATAAAGTCCTATTGGTAAAATTATCGTTTATGATATAATAGGGAAGTGATTGGGGTACACAGGGGTACGGCCATGTTTGCAATTGCATCCTTATTACTTTTCAGCACTGCCCGCCAGTGGTACGCCTCTCCTCCAGAGTGAGTGATTTGTTTTCAGATAGACCACTCAGACAAAGGGGAGAGAGCTGAAGCCCAGCTATGGGGAGTGGCTTGCTCCAAGGCACATGACAAGTCAGTGACAGATCTGGGAATGGAGCTAGGTCACTCTCTTTTCTAATTAGTTTAGTGTCTTCCATTATCTGATGTTCAGCAACTGAGCCTTGGGAGCACTGTGTATGGAACATATACTAGAGCTGCTGCACAGTATGTCTCAAGCTTATGCCTTAACTGACTTGAGATCTTACAGGATGTAAACCAGTGCTCTTCTTACAGCACACTGGGAGGATTACTTTTCATAGTCTGTCTTGTTAGGACCTCTTCATATGCTTCATAAACTAAGGTAATAGAGCACAGCAAGCCTGCAAATTTATCATGCGTGTACAACTTACTATGGCCAGCATGTAACAATTAGAAATAAGAAGTTCCAATTTGTTATTTAAATGAATAGCAGACATACTATAGATGATTTATATAGCACCAGCAGCCGATGATTTACATAGTTCCAATTAGAAAGAAAAGCGTGGGAAGTAGAAAATTCCTATGGTAAAACAAGCCTGTATACTAGATGTTAAATCATTAAACTAAAGCAGGGCCTGAAAAGTGTACCAGATGTCCTACCATCTGAACAGCTAAATCAGGCATGTGTTTCAAACAAACAAACAAAAAAAGGAAAGGTGAAGTATAGTACATTAAGTAGCTCAGCAGCTTTTCAATGGGACCCTGCCTAACTCTCCATCCTGTCTACTGTGGGGAAAGTGAAGGCAGGTGGCATTCCTGCCAGGAGGCTGGATAGTACTTGGGTAGGGATCAGCCTTCTCTATTAGCTTCCAGATTGTTGATTCATAACTACATTTGGCTTGTAGGTGTGTACGTGCATTTGAAGACTCCCTTTTTCTTAATGTGTCCAGATGGTGAAGGTTTTTTTCAGTTAATGGTACAATTAACTTCAACTCTCAGCGACATGGGGACTGTTGCCATGCATGTTTTGCTGTATGCTTTGTGGCCCCTGTACACAAATTCCCTAGGAAAACCAGTCCGTTTTGATGCGATTTATTTGAAATCTTTCCCATTATTAATTATCTCAGACTTTTTCCTAGAAAGTGCAATAGAAGAGTGCAGTGATACCTAGTTCCTGTCTGTGTCACAGTGACCCAGTCAGCTCACACCATCCTCAGTGAAGATGGAAATCCACTGCTCTCATTGCCGTTAGCTCTGCTGTTGCATCAGATGATTTACAGCAGGGCAAAGACGGAGTCCACGAGTTGGCTTTCAGAACTATGCTTTTATGTGCAGAAGTGCTAGAAACTTTTATTTTTGTCCCCTTAAATGAAGATTTAAAATCCGTAGCTAATAAGAGGCTGGTCTGCTCCTCAGCTCGCTAGTAATGCCAGGCTAGTTGGCTGGGTATTTTTCAATCTCTGATGAAAACAGTGTGACAAAATAAATAGCAGTGTTAACAATAATAGCATATTAATAATAACAAAATACCTGGTTAACAGAGTCAATTTTTGCTTGGAATTAATATCTTTCAAATAATAATTATTAACTAGTAAAACCACTGTCATTTTTTTAGACTTTCATTCTGCTCGTTGATGCTGTCGTATTGTTTCCTAGCTTTTCCTCAGATATTCCAATTATCCCTTGTATTTAGACTGAGTGTTTTGGCTAGGGATCTTTTTGGTCAATGCTAATGTAAAATTTATATCAGCTGAAGCTTCATTCGTGGCTGTGACTGTTAGACACTGGACTACATAAGGAGTAATCAATGATATTAAAACTGAATCTAAAAGCTAATCTATTAAAATATTTGAAGCAGTTTCTATTTTTCTATGCATTTTTGTAACACTGGTGGTGCTTTTTGTTCTTAGAATAAGGGCTCCCAGGGCACACTTGCCACTGTTTAAGTGGAATAGCTGTAAGAGGACTTTCAATCTTCCATCTTTTCAGCATTCAAATCTGTACTCTAACTGACAAACCAAGGAGATCTGAGGCATCATTTCTAGGTACTCCTTCGTGTATTGCGAAGGCTTCTGTTTCACTGAAATTCTAAAAACATTAAGCCAGAGTAGTAGGTTAGAAATGGGTAGTAGTAGTAGTTTAGAAATGGGTATTAGGTTAGAAAGCTCAGAGTCTTGACCAGCTTTCTCTTTTAAACCACAGTGCCACAAAGGCTCATTTGACAGAAACCTTTACTTGTCCAAATGCTGATGAGCTCAAAATACAGATTGTGAGTTCCTTACATGTTTGGGACCTTCAGGACACATTTGGCTTAAATTCAAGCAAAGAAAACTTACCGTTCTCTTCTACCATCTCTTCTAGTTAACAGTGTGCATCTGAGAGGCAGACTCATGCCATTCAGTTTTAATTCTCAAAATAACTTGAAATTTCTTGATATGGGGGAGAGGGAGATGACAAGTAGCAATAGAGATAGTAGGGCAACTCTGCCAAATCAGATTATGTTATTCAGTGCACAAGTGAATCGACTGGAACCAGAATCTGGTTAAACATATGATATGGTGGATGCCACCCATCATCAAGAACATAAAACATCTGACATAGCTGGATTTGACATGAGACATCTGTACCCTGCATTCTCCCTGTCTCTTTATTTTGGCCTGGTGGAAATCACAGTGGCCTCCGGGAGTGAAGGGGATGCGTAGACCACATATCCAAGAGGCAAAGATGAAAGATCATAATGAAGTACTACCAAGAGTTGATAGCAGTGTTTGCCAGACTGTTTTTTCCCAGAAATCCTTGGAAATACTTTGAATCTGTTCCTGTCCCATAAAAA